GATGGGAAATGTGTGGTTAAAAATATTATTTTATTGAAGAATGTGTGGTTGAAAATGAGAATTGATTTACTGTAGAAAATGAAAATCTGTACCAAACAAACTCTATATATGCATTCAAATTTCCCCTGTAATGGAATTTTAAAACACTAATTAAGTATTGGACGTTTCAACATTTTAATATTTAAGACATTGAAAAAGTAATAGTTCTTAAAATCTCATAATAAGAAAGTAGTAATTTATAGAACGTTGATTTTGAAAGCGATGACGATAATGAAATGTTAAACCATTAAGACTAGTTCCATTATTAATTTTCAGTGTCTTGCCCTCAAAAGTATATACAGAAAACAGTTTCTAGAAAAAACTAAATCTTAGAAGAATGAATAAATATGGATTCAAATGCTAAAGAAATAAAAACCTCTGCATTTAGTAAATTACCAGTTTAAACTTTTTTGGCTTAAAGAATTCTCAAATTCCTTTAAATTATGGAGCTCTATGATCTCCAAGGATTGAGCTCCAAATACTCTATGCTTTAAAGGTAGTATCTTGTTTCAAATTTCCTTTAGAACCTGAATCCATCAATCGCAAGGTACATCTTCTACCTCTATTAAGTACTTCACATTTTGAAAATTATACTCACTAACAAATTTCCTCCAGGACTAGCAACAAGCCCCTCACCCAGATAGAAGAAAAAGGAATGACCTGTCTATTTGATATCAGCGTAATATAATTTTTTAAACAAACATCCATGTGATTGCACCACATTATTTATGGCAGTGTAGGATTTCATTATCATGCTTCCATATCGAAGGGCATGCATAATTTTGTCTCACACAACACACAAAATTTCCCCAACCTATCATAGTAAAACTCGTAATATCCACAAATTACCCCAAAGTTTCATTGCAAAACATACTTGAATACCCACAGATTGTTTTAAGTCAATAGTGAAAAGCAAATATTTTTTTTCCAAACGCCAAAGATTTCCCTATATCGTCACTGCCTAACTACTTGACACAAAAGACCACTATAATTGCTCTGAAATAAGTACAGCAGGTATGTAACTTTTCCACAAAAAATGTCCAAAAAGCCCTTAATAGAGCATTAGTAGCCAGTAGTCACAATACATCCAAATGATAATAATTATAGTAACGTCAAATGCATTCCTGTAATATTTTACAGAACAATTTCATTTAACACATGAATTTAAAAACCCACCAACCTGTTTGTTAGTCTGGCAATAATCGACCATGTACTCATAGGCATCAGCTTGGGCATTCACCCTAGTTTCAGTCCCCTCAACGGGTAGGGCAAAAGCGTCCATAACAACTATAGTATCGCCATCGGTCTTTCCTTGCATGAGTCCCACGACCTCAATGTTTCCGCCGGAGCGGGCATGGACGACCATCTTGAGGAGGGCAAGTGCAGAGACCTTCACCCGTTTGAAATAGTGTGGATCATTGGCCCACGGCTTTTCTTGCTGGTAAGCAGCCTGCATCGCCTCGTCGTAGTAGAATATGGCGTCCGACGCGGCGGAGTTGTCGGCGGCGGCAGCGGTGGTGACTATATTGTTTTCCAGTTCCCAAGTTTGACGGGCAATCGCCGCCGACGAGAAGGGATCCATTTGTCACGGTTGGAAATCCAACTCGCAAACACACTTTCGTACAAATCAACGCTGGAATTTCCCCAGCTGAAATAAGGAATTTATGATACTGAATTCAAAGTAAAAGAGACTGGGGGAGGGATTAAATGATGTAAAATAAGAACGAGAATGAGATGATTGAATTGAATCACTTCAGTTAACAACCAGTTTGTCAGAAAAATCACGGACCGGTTTGTTACTCCGACAATTCCATTTGTACGGAATTTTTTTGCACCGAAAATGTTACCCTCAGTCACGTGCGTGCGGGCCCGCATAAATAAAAAATTCTCAATGTGCAGTCCTCGCACCTTATCGTGAGTGTAGTTAAAAGATTAAGTAAAAAATGAATGTACATTTAGCATTGTCCTTCTTCCTTTACACAGGACGTAGATATACTCACGTTGAAGTCGTGTTTGGACAAATTTTAAATTGAAAAACAAGATTTCTAACTATTACATTTATTAATTCAAAACGACACCATTTCGCTCAATTCACAACGACACCATTTTGAATTCCAAAGTCAGGTAATTTTATTGCCTTCTTTCTAGTTTTGCTGGTTCGGCTCCTTCTTTCCCCCACTTGCTTCTCACACTCCTCCTCACCTTGCTCTTGTCCCCAAGATCCACATGCTAGAAACTGAGTTCTAACCCATTCAGCATCCTCTCAGGTTGCACTGTCGATGAGCTTGACTATGGAATGAGCCATTGCAATTTGTTTGATGTCTGTGCTTCACTAGCCTGGATTGTAAAATGGCTAGTGGATAATGACCTACCTGTAGTAATTGCTTTTCCTTTGGAAGTTGTAGTGCTGACATTGTGTTGCCTCTAAGTTTTTTCTTCAATAGTGAAACATGGAAAATTGGTTGGATCTTAGAACCTTCAAGTAGTGCTAATTGGCATGCAAATGTCCTTATCTTCTTAAGGATTTAATATGGACCAAAGCATCTAGCACAGAGTTTTTTGGTTTTGCCTATGCTCCACTGAATGTTGAGTATAATGATGTAGCTTGAGAAAAACCCAATCCCCCTCTTCAAAAGACCTCGCTTCCTTGATTTTGTATGCGTAAAGTTTCATCCTAGTCATGGCCTGAGATAGGTTCTCCTTTAACTGTTGGTTTAATTTGTATATCCGCATCTCCACCACTAGCCTCTTTATTTCTGTTTTCTGAATAAAAGGGCATAAACATGGTCTCATTCTAAATGGATGTGCTCCCTCCTTTAAAGGGGTGTGATGATCGCATGATCTGGGAGGAGGCAGCAGTGTTAGATCCTCATACTCTGGGAAATTTATGTATGACTTCCTGAATCTGGCCAGGTATATCCTTTGTTTGTTCCTCCTTCATTTGGTACAATTGTCCCACTATCCTATAAGTTTTTTTTGCCATACATTTTCTCTATCTCTCTTTTCCCCATTAACTTGACTGGATTTCTAGAAACCTCACTTTTCAATTTAATTACTTCATCATTGCTCTGGAATTGGACATAATCATGCATGAAATCAAAGGTGATCGGACCAAATCGACTCATCCAATCTACTCCCAGTACAACGTCACTGCCACACAATTTCAATGTTCTTAGATGGTATTGGAATTCCCAGTTTTGAACCTTCCAAGTCGGGGGAGAGTACATGACTTTACTCTCTAATTTCTCGCCATTGGCCATCCTGATTGTCAATGTTTTAGTTCCATCAATGACCAATTTCAACTCTTTAGCCAGTCCTTCATCTATAAAGCTATGTGTGCTTCCACTATCAACTAAAATAGATGTCATCCTCCTTTTTAAAGTTCCAGGAATTCTGATAGTTTATGCCTTGGATTCCCAGCCAAAGCATTGATAGATATCTCCATAACTTCATCTTCCTCTTCATCTAATTCAGATTCCCTTTCCTCTTTTAATTCACCATCCTCCTCTTCATCCACCATTATGAAATTCATTGTTATATTCTTATACACATGTCCTACAGTGTACTTCTCATCACATTTGTAACACAACCCCAGGTTCCTCTTGGTTTGAAAATTAGTAGGTATGATAGTTTTATAAATTTTTGGTGGTTTATTGGTGCTTGGCCATAGGTCTTTGGGTTTGATTTCAACAGGTGGTTTTGGGGGGTCAGGGTTCTACTTGTTAGGTGTGAAACTCTTTGGTTTTTGGTATTTGTCGATGGCTTGGATGGTTGATTCTTGTAGGGTAGCTACTTCAAATGCTTTAGCCAAGGTGTTTGGTTTCATCATCTTTACCATAGACTTAATCTCTCCTCTTAATCCACTAGTAAACACAACAATATAAGGAACATGTGGTAAAGCTAACATCACCTGTGATTTGAGCTCTTCGAATTTCTCCTGGTAATCATCTATGGAACAAATTGTTTGATCTTGCTGAAGATCTCCACTACTTCTTCCCAAGTAGTTTCTGAAAATCTCATGCGGAGTTCTTCAAAGAATAGGTTCCAGCCAGCCCTAAGGTGGCTTGCAATGAATCTGTCGAACTTCATCAGGTACCGGTGCAAATGGAAATACTTCCTGGCTTTTCTCAACCATTCTCTAGGATTATCTCCCTCAAAATGTAGAAAATCGATCTTGGGCAACCTAGTATTCCCTTTCAACTCACCTCTAGTGATGATACTAGCCTCATTTCTACTACCACCCGGTGTACGAGCACACTCCCAAACTTCAAATCACCCATAGATTCCTCTATCCCTTTGTTCTTCTGATTGGTTTTCAAGTCAGTTGAAATTCCGGCCATAAATGCAATAACCTTCTTGTATTTTTTGTTCAAATCCAGCACAGCATCTTCTATTTTCTTCTGCCTACTACCCAATACTTGAAGAGTTTGGTCTGTAGATTCAAGTTTATTTTCCAGTCTGCCAGTAACAACTTTAAAACTTGTACCCAAATCTAATTTCTTCAAATGTTCATCAATTGCTTTAGACCTTGTATCCATTTCTAACAATTACCCAGTAATATACGCCTGATCTGATACCAATTTGTCACAGTTGGAGTTCCAACTCGCAAACACAACTTCGTACAAATCAACGATGGAATTTACTCCAGCTGAAATAAGGAATTTATGATACTAAGTAAAAGAGAATGTGGGAGGGATTAAATGATGTACAATAAGAACGAAAAGGAGAGCATTGAATTGAATAACTTCAATTAACAACCAATTTGGCATAAAAATCACGGACTGGTTTCTTCCTTTACACGGGAATGTAGATATACTCTAGTTGAAATCGTGTTTGGACAAATTTTAAATTGGAAAAAAAGCGATTTCTATCTATTACAATTTATTAATTCAAAACGACACCATTTTGCTCAAGTTGCACCGTTTTGAACTCCAAAGTCAAGTAATTCTGCTGCCTTCTCTTTCCTCTCTTCTTTCTGGTTATGCTTCTTCTTTCCCCCACTTGCTTCTCATAGAACACCATTGTTAATGGGTTCTTTTGCACAAATTCACAGTTACGGTGGTGTTTATTTTGATTTGATAGGCCTTTCCAAAATGATAAATGGGAGGTTCTCAAAATAAAAAGAAAAAAATAATAAATGGAAGTAAATTTTACAATTACTGGTATCCTAAAAAAGCATAAAGAGTGAATAAGCACGAATGCCAAACTAAGTTACTTATTTTTTTATTATTATTTTAAATATTTAAACATTTTTAAAATTATTTAATAATTAAAATAATACATATCAAACATATAAAACTATATAATATTGTATTACTTAATAATTCCTACAATTAGTCAATTATATAATTTTCAAGTTTTCTAAATGCAGAAGTTAGACTATTTTTTATAATTTCAACTTTCAACTAAATAAGTTTTGTTTAACAGATTTATAAAAACTTCATACATATTTTAAAAGTTCCACACAAAATGATAAATTTCAAAATCACAGTTATATAATAATAATGTCAAATTTTGCTTTTTATATAGATAAAGTCATTTAAAAATTTAAAATTAACGTTAAGTAAAGCCTTTTTAAAAAAGAAGAAAATAAAAATATAAAAAAGTTGATAAAGCACTCCTAGGCGTGCTAGGCTCACGTTTACTGTCAATGCAAAATGTTTTTTGGTTCCTTGCGTTTAGACATACTTTTTAGAACACTAAATTTTACTATATTTACGTGGTTTGGTGCAAAATTTCAAAGTGGTCATTTTTTTTTTTTTAACTTATTTATTCTCTAAATTTCATAACGACTTGAGTAAAAAAAAAATAATGATTTGAGATTTTATATTAAGTAGACCAAAGTCCGCTAATTCAATTGCCACCTATGAAAAGTAGTGTTTCGTACGTTTTTTTAGAACTCACGTTGCAAATACTTATTTTTCTACCAATCAATACGCGAACTAACTATGCTTGATCACTTTAATGAATGCTAGTTCAGATTACTTTACTGACTAAATCACTAGAATCTTGCTACATGTACATTAATATTTACATAATGTCACATGACATTCTATTATTTGTCAGTTTAAGATAAAATCAAACTTTTTCATTTAATCTTTTCCCTCCACATAATTTTCAGAACAATTTATGTACGTTTTTTATGTATAAGTAGCAAAATCCAAACATTAGTGCTGAAACTATTATAAATTTTAAGAATTAAATTATCTGTACAATTTCGTTTATACCTTGGTTGACAACATGATGACGTGAAAGTGTTATAATGGTTGAATTAAATGTGTGAAATGTGAAAAATGATGTAAGATTGTATCAAATGTAAATTCGATAAGTCAGGGTGTAAACCAAGATATACATGTAGTAAGATTAAAATTTTAAATCACTAAATGGGATAGGAAAGAATTTAATGATCAACTTGAAATTTTACACAAACTTTGATGACTCTAAATTTTACACAAATTTTACAAAAAACATATTCATACATGAATTATAGTTTGCGAAGTCTATGAGCGTAGGTAGATTTTGGTGGTATCAACTGACCCCACATAAATTCAGATTTTTTTTTTTATTATTTTCTATTCAAAAATCAGACCGCTAATTGATTCGAAAAAGGTCAAGGAATGAAAGTTTTAGATCAAAATCGTAGTAGAAATTAAATAAAAATATACGATTTTCTATGTAAGCTGAAGAACATTTTGAATATTTTTAATTTTTCTGATTAACCTGAGGGTAAAAATTTCGATGATCACTATACTTTCAACTTCATTTTTCTAGTTGTCATTGAACTTTAACATTTTATAGATAGTAACCATACTTTAAAATGTGTTTTTTAATAGTCGTTGGGCTTTACTTTTTAAAGAACGGTTACCGTATTTTCAAAGTTGTTTCCTAACCGCTACTTTTAAGTTTTGTTTTTCACTCATCATTACAAATCTTTTGAAAAAAATAACGATTTTGTTTATCATGTTATAGGAATCATTGAAGAAAATTGGAATGTTACTCTTGGAATAATGAAACCCGATAATCTGATAGACAACATTTATAATAATGTATTGCATTATTTTCTTTACGATGCGTTTGATTGTGAGCATAAAATTTGTATTAAAAAAAATTCTAGGCAATTCAATTGTCTAGAACTAATTTGTATAAAAATTATTAATAAAATGTGTTTGATTGATTTAATTTTCAACCCATAAAATATTATATCTATCCATTTTTTTATTGGTAGGTGAATGAAAGAGAGGTATAGATAAGAGAGAGTAAATTCCATGAAAAATAAAATTCTACTCCCTCTAAAGAAAATATTTTCCTTGATTTTGAGAAAAATATGATCACATGACCAAAAGTAGGAAAATATTTTTTCATGGAAAAAAATGTCAATCAAACAGCACAAAAATAAAAATTTGGACGAAAAAACACATTTTCCATAAAAAAAAAAAAATAAGTAATCAATCGCTTATATTGCTTGAAAAAAAAATATTGTAACTTCATGTTTAACCCCATAATAACTCGGATAATTCTTGATGTACATGGTGATGTACCCCAAGAATGATCTAACTCCATCACTGCATACGAGAGATGCTTTCAAAATTTCACACATTATGAAAATAGCGAGGAAAGTTTGTTCCATCCTCAGTAAGATGGAAGTGTAACGTGAAATTAGATGTTATTTATAAATTATTAATGGGACAAAGTGAAGAATCAGATTACTTGAGTGGACCAATCCAGTTCCGACACATGAATAACAAGAGAAGAATAAAAAGTCCAACAAAAAATATAGCCATTAAAACATGAATAATTGCTACATGTACATTAATATTTACGTAATGTCACATGACATTCTATTATTTGTCAGTTTAAAATAAAATTAAACTTTTTCATTTAATCTTTTCCCTCCACATAATTTTCAGAACAATTTATGTACGTTTTTTATGTATAAGTAGCAAAATCCAAACATTAGTGCTGAAACTATTATAAATTTTAAGAATTAAACTATCTGTACAATTTCGTTTATACCTTGGTTGACAACATGATGATGTGGAAGTGTTGTAATTGTTGAATTAAATGTGTGAAATGTGAAAAATGATGTAAGATTGTGTCAAATGTAAATTCGATAAGTCTGGGTGTAAACCAAGATATACATGTAGTAAGATTAAAATTTTAAATCACTAAATGGGATAGGAAAGAATTTAATGATCAACTTGAAACTTTACAGACTTTGATGTCTCTAAATTTTACAAAAAACATATTCATACATGAATTATAGTTTGCGAAGTCTATATGAGCGTAGGTAGATTTTGGTGGTATCAACTGACCCCACATAAATTCAGATTTTTTTATTTTTTTTTAATTTTCTATTCAAAAATTAGACCGCGAATTGATTCGAAAAAGGTCAAGGAATGAAAGTTTTAGATCAAAATCGATAGTAGAAATTAAATAAAAATATACAATTTTCTATGTAAGCTGAAGAACATTTTGAATATTTTTAATTTTTCTGATTAACCTGAGGGTAAAAATTTCAATGATCACTATGCTTTCAACATCAATTTTCTAGTTGTCGTTGAACTTTAAAATTTTATAAATAGTAACCATACTTTACTTTAAAATGTGTTTTTTAATAGTCGTGGGCTTTACTTTTTAAAGAATGGTTACTGTATTTTCAAAGTTGTTGCCTACCCGCTACTTTTAAGTTTTGTTTTTCACTCATCATTACAAATCTTTTGAAAAAAATAACGATTTTGTTTATCATGTTATAGGAATCATTGAAGAAAATTGGAATGTAACTCTTGGAATAATGAAACCCGATAATCTGATAGACAACATTTTATAATAATGTATTACATTATTTTCTTTAGGATGCGTTTGATTGTGAGCATAAAATTTGTATTAAAAAAAATTCTAGGCAATTCAATTGCCTAGAACTAATTTGTATAAAAATTATTAATAAAATGTGTTTTATTGATTTAATTTTCAACCCATAAAATATTATATCTATCCATTTTTTTATTGGTAGGTGGATGAAAGAGGGGTATAGATAAGAGAGAGTAAATTCCATGAAAAATAAAATTCTACTCCCTCTAAAGAAAATATTTTTCTTGATTTTGAGAAAAATATGATCACATGACCAAAAGTAGGAAAATATTTTTTTTATGGAAAAAAATGTCAATCAAACAGCATAAAAATAAAATTTTGGACCAAAAAACACATTTTCCATAAAAAAAAATATAAGTAATCAATCGCTTATATTGCTTGAAAAAAATATATTGTAACTTCATGTTTAACCCCATAATAACTCGGATAATTCTTGATGTACATCACCATATACATCAAGGTGTCCATAATGGACACTCGGCGCACTCCCATTGGTGGGGGAGCCGGTCCCACAAGGTGCCCCCACCAATAGGAGTACGTCGAGTGTCCATTATGGACATCTTGATGTACATGATGATGTACCACAAGAATGATCTAACTCCATCACTGCATACAAGAGGTGCTTTCAAAATTTCCCACATTTCGAAAATAGCGGGGAAAGTTTGTTCCATCTTCAGTAAGATGAAAGTGTAACATGTGAAATTAGATGTTGTTTATAAATTATTAATGGGACAAAGTGAAGAATCAGATTACTTGAGTGGACCAATCCAGTTCCGACACAGGCTCTGTTTGAAACTCAATTCTCATTTTTTTTTTCTATTTCTTTATTTTAATCACACATTCTCCCAATAAAATAATATTACACACAAATCTAAAACTTTTCATTACTTTTCAACCACATATTCTTCCATCAATCACTATTTCAAAATTTATTTTTTTCCTCAAAATAAGTGTCAAGCACAGTTTACAATTAGCCTCGTTCTGAAGCCACTTCAACTTTTCATTTTTTTTTCCTAAAGGGAGCTTCTACATTTTGCAATTATTCGAGTACCTCGTTAAATATTTGTACCTCCAATTCAGTTTCAACGTATGCCATGGAAATCCTGAAACCAAAGAGTGCTTAAATATAGCCATTAAAACATGAATAACAAGAGAAGAATAAAAAGTCCAACAAAAATTTCAACACTACATAAAATACGATACGGAAAAAGTTCGAAAGTTACTACCCTAAGCATTAAGTACTACAAAGAAACAAATATTAGCAAGATGAATTGTGGAAGTCTATCATACTAGATTCCATGATATGAAAAGAAAATGAACAATCTGCTTTTTTTTAAGTCAACACAAGAATGATACAATTTGAAGCCTAGATTAATCAAACAGAATTCTACAACAGCACTAGTGGAACATGGTCTATCCGATCTAAATTGCTAATGTACAAAATGTGATATCGCAGTCATTTACCTCTTCCTCTGCCCCTCCGATTGACTGATTTTCTTACTTGGGGCTTCCTAGCCAAACCATCGGCCTTCTCTGCCAACTCATGTTTCTTTGCTGGCTGTGTCAATTCTGGTAAAAATTCTTCATGTTGCATGTTAAAAATATTCTGAGAGCCAGTTGAAACTGTATTTAAATCAGTTAAAACTGGAACTTCAATATACGTTTCACTGAGAAGCTCGCATTTATCTTCCACAGGATTCTTCTGGCTTATGGTGTTATTATGGTTTCCATCATCAGATGGCTCATCGTTTTCTCCTGCACCGACTTGTGCAGACAAACTGAGAAGAAAAGCAGCAATATTTAAAATTATGTATGAGACTGAGCATTATACATAGTGTGAGATCTTATATTTTTATGAATCAAACACAGGACAATAATTGAACATAATTTCACCTGGTTTCTGCTGATGGATAACCATCTGAACTTTGTATTCTGTTAAATTCAGCCTCTCCATTTGTCATAGAACCTTTTACATCACTTGCATGTGGATCTGCAAATGTGAGATTGTTTCTATATAATACTGCTTGCTCTTTGCTCAAGACCCATACAAAAATACTCAAGACAAAGGGACATAGAGAAAGCAATGCAAGGGTGAGGAGACTCAATCAGTCCATATTCTAAATTCTCTCATTCTTGGAGGGGTTGGTGAAGGCTTTAACAAATAGGATTAAAACATTTTCAAATGTTAGCATCCTTTGCACATTCCAACAAATAGAAGTGAGATGCCCTTCACTCAGGGAAGGTTAGCATCCTTTGTGCGTACCCTGCCTTTCTGATTTCCATTTTTAATAATAAATGAACCCTACTGACATCAAATGCTAACCTAGAGATTGCAATCTCTATTAAGTGGTTTGCAGAAGACATTTTAATGCTATGCTTCGCTTCTGAACAGTTCAAAACAAGGTGTCACGGTTCTTCTATGTTTGGCAAAGTTTTACTATGTCAATACTATTTCTTCATTAACTGTCTATTTTCTTCGAGTTGATTCAAGACAGTACAGTGCTTCGGATTAAATTTACAGTGTCATTTGGAAGCCTTTTTATTACAGTTAAATGAGATAAATGGGTTAAATTCAACAATGACCACTCAACTTCATACTTAGTGTCAATTTTGGTCACCCAATTTGATTTTGTTTCACCATGGCTACCCAACTTCATATTTAATTTCAGTCAAGCTACCCGGTAACTTTATTTAACATGATCAAATTGGGTGGCCAATGTGCATGAAGTTAAGTGGCCATGGTGAAACAATATCAAATTGGATGGCCACTGGTGAATTTAACCCAATATAAATGGACAAATCTTTGACTATATAAGCAAACAGTTGCAGATAACATTGTTGCTTCCTATTTATGGAGCAGCTGGCATATTGGTGCAGGTGACTTTTGATTGCTTCACGAGAAAATTGCAATTGTCAGATTATAGGTTGTGTTTGCTTCTTATGGCCCCAAAAAATCATCCTTAAAAGAAGCACGGCACATTCCTGTTACAATAGGAACAATATTTTTACAAATAAATTGGGCACATTGTGCCTGTTCCTTTTAGTAATATCTGAATAGGATAGGGGATAATTAAAAAGAACAAACTATTAACTTCGTCTTTTTTATTTCATAGAAGCCTTGTCCCAATAGTTGCAGGCTTAAAAACTAGAAGGAAGGCTTAAAAACTAGAAGGTATGTGCCTAAACAGTTTATTATTTTATTTTTATTCTTTTCATGAGTAACAGATTTTTAACAAGGCCATCTGATCCACCATTCCAGGGAAGAGTGGAACCTGCAAGTATGTATTATAAAATATATCTGTCGACCGTGAAACCAGGTACACTATACACTCTTTATCTACAAAACCAGAAAGCAAAATCCAGGCTTTAAATCACCACCCTCCAAAACCATAAATAAAAGAGGCCATCCCCAAGAGCTTAGTGCTTAGTGTACTATCTCAAATGGGGCCAAAACAAAAATTCAATCATCCATAGCTCCACGTTGTCAAGGGTGGGGCTAAATCTGGAGCCCTACACATTCCTATAGCATGATAAACCAACAAAACAAAACAGAAAGAGGAAAGACTACATACCATCATGATGCCCCACATCATTACCGGAAGCAGTCCTCTTGGAGGCAGTGCATTCATCATCATTCAAAATAGCTTCTGAATCCTTTAAAAAACAATAAACGAAGATCTATTCAGTAAAAAGGTACTTTCGCAGATTGACACATACACACGCTCTTAACCAACATCAATACTAAGATTCAACATATTTCCTGAAAAGAATCAACGGCTTAAAGAACCTATTCAGCTAACCAGTTACCCACTTACCCCATTGTTTCCAGTTACATAAGTAGTTGGCCTGGATGGCAACATGTCATTTACCTCACCATCTTGCCTCAAATCCAAAGCTGAAAGCGAGAAATGCAACCAACATTACAAATTTTTACAATTATATCAAATGCAGTTGTTTATAATTTATATATAGGAATTTACAACAAAAGACAAGTTTAGCATTAACCCAAGAAAATAGAACAACCTGATAGGCCAGGATTAGATCTCACCCCTGCATCCGGGTTTGGAGGTGCATCTATTGATTTGGTTAATGTCGAAGAATTCAGCTCAATCTTTTTCTCCAACATACTAGCTGCTGGTATATCAGTTCCCAAGTACTCCAGACTACTTTTAGGTGCAAGTGACAGATCAATTTTAGAGGATAGAGAGCGTAGCATATCGTCTGTTGCCTTTGAACGCACTCTTCTTAATTCTTCCTGGATATTCCATGATCCAGAGGTAAGAGAATTCCGTTTCTGCCACGTGTCACAATGAACAACAATGGACAAATTGAGAAAACCATGAGATCAAAGAAATTGAAAGGATGAAAAGAACATTAAGTGCGATTCTCAAAAACTATATACACTTAGCCAAATTTAAGCTAACGAGCATATCAATATTAGATATTTTCCCACATTTCTAATGTCAAAGAAATCAAAGAAGCATCTGCAGCGTAGAAAAACAGATGATGATAGTTGTGTCATCAGTGTATATACAACAATTTGGGTGCATAAAAAATGCTGGGTGTAGGTTCAAGTGACACATAAAGAACAATTGATCCCTCTTAACAAGGTGATGACCCAAGGCAACTTCACAATTGCAGCAAGTTTCTGCTCAAGACACTGTTTCTATTTGAAAACATAAAAGGAACGGTCTGTGCAATTTAAGAAAGGAATAATACTGTAGGTGTTCAAACGGACATTGGCATAGACGAGATCGAGCATTACTTAAAACACCTGCAACAATAATGGAATGCATAAAGAAAAAATAATCAATGCACCTTCAACGAAGACAAAGAGTCATTGCCAACTGAAAATTGTGTTCCTTCCCTGAAAGGCTCCATCATCATCGTTGATGGGGTTCTTACTTCAATTTGTTTTGCAGGAGAGGTCCAAGGTGGACGGACCTTCATGTAGGATTTGGCCATATCCACAGGAGAACCAACTTCACTTCCTATCTGCATTAATCAACTCAGTATCATCAGCAACTAGTTTGGCAACATTATTCTCACTACAAATTTCTTCATAAATCTAGGCACACAATTTTGAATAGTGGAAGCAAAAGAACACATGTTTTATGTGATGAGTCACAAAAAAAAAAAAAAAGACAATGGTACAAGACATAAAAATTCGAAAAAATAAAGAAACGTTGAAACATAACATGCTCAAGAAAAAATGATAACACGCATTTGCTCAAAAGTATCACAAAAAAAATTACTAACATTTCGAGGCACTATGGAGTTGAAATCACAGGTCCCATAAGCCAAGTCTGACAATGGGCTCGTTTTCTTATCTTCAAACCACGTTTTTGCTTCCATAACAGTTCTATTGTAGAGATCAACATTTTCTGCGTATGAAAGGAAAACTTTATCGGTGATCTAAAGATCCTGAAATTAGATTACTTGGAAATTTCTTGAAAGGCAATACCATTGCCAACTGTTTCCCCAGCTGACATGGTGAGTAGACTTGTCTCCCCAGCTTCTGTCGTGGAATAATCCAGCACTCGAGAGTTGATAATTTTTATCAACCTATTACACTCTTCCCTGATAAAGTTATAACACAAAGCGTTAGACAGTAGATGAAGGACTGCAGTAAAATATTTTTCCAGTGACACTATGATTTTCCACATTAAATGCACATTGCCACAAGATGTCATCAATGAGTTCGATCCCAACGTTAATAGAAGGAGATAGAGGAGGTAATACAAGAAACATGCAGGCAAATTTGAAATTAATTGGCAATAATTTAATTCAACAACTTGACACATACTTGTAGAATTAGCTCGAAAAAATCTGAATAGGGAAGAAGCAGAGTTAGTAGAAAGAAAATAGAAGAAAAAAGCAACAATCAGAAATGAAAAGGACACCAAAATATCAAAGAAAGAACGTATGCTTGTAATTCCTAGCAATAGACATGCTTTAAAATTTACTTATTTACCTTGAAAACATCTCCTGCATAATTAGTTGTTCAATTATATGTTTGGTATCACTCTTCCTCACTCTAGAATGAGATCCCTGTCTAGATTGTATCACTTCCAACGTCATCCCCTGTCATCAAGAACAATAAATACCTGTTTAACTGTAATTGCTTGGCTAATGTGATCCGAAAACTGGAATTTAACTTTTTAAAGCATTTTTAGTATTACATACTTAATAACACCTTTAAAGGACATATAACAGCGTATAAAGGAACCATATGCCGATCAGGCAAACTCATGTGTTGTTAATGTGTTATAGTGAATGCACATTACAGAGCAAACCAAAGATGCACAGACACGGTCATGGAGACATGTGAATTCTTTTCAAAGTAGTACATGGACACGTCGATTTAAATTCTTTGAAATTTAAAATTTTATATTTTTATTATTATACTTTCAAATACAGGACATGGCACATATAATGCCGAACGCTTGCCTGAGAAATGTCTCTAAAGCATCCTGGAGCCTTAGAAATTTTAAAAAAATATAAAACATAGGACAAGGCATGTGGTTTGTCAAATCCGTGTCATGGAATGCCTAACATGATACATATTGTACATGGACACACTGCCCTAGAACGTGTGTCCATGCGTCATAGGAGCAAACAATTCAGATAATGAAAATTTTGTAAAGCGTCTGGTATAAGTTAGTGACAGGTAGATCTCAATTACCTTATTCTAAATCATTACTCACAAATACTGAACGACATTTATCAGCAATGTACAAAGAAGAATGCTAATAAAAAGCAGTTAATTGTTCTCAAATCCAGCAGCAACCTAAAGGGTAGATTGTATGTGGATATTGTCAGTATAACTTGTGTCATCCTTTCTCTACACTCAAATTCTAGCAGGAACTAAAGTCTGCGCTATCATGTTGCAATCTAAACAAAATTAGCTAGGACAAATTCGCAGCAAAATTAAGATCAGCTTTCTTTCATAGCATCATTATGAGGTTTAATTTTAAGGATGTCTACAGATGATGTTAATTTAGAATTATAGATTTCTACCTGAAATTACAGAGAAAATGAATAAATTATACAAATCAATGTCAAATCAGCATAAAAGTCCACATATTATTCTATAAATAGGACAGAAATATATTCTTCTGCATAGTTGGGAATAAGCTAAATAAGACGAATCTAACACTTCCTATTCTTCGGCGACGTGATGCTTGAAGCAATTCATTGCTTATCTGTTACCATACATCGTGTAGGCCACAAAAATGATTAAAAATTACTGAATCATATAAGCCAAAACAAAATATTATGCCAAATTTGGGTCCACAGATGAAGGTACGTAAGTGTTTAGATAAAGGGACTCATTCCATGTCTGCCAACTTAGTTTTCTTTCGTCTTCAAGGATAGGTAACCATAGAGGAGGAACATCATATTACTCACCCGTACGAACAAATTCAAGGTTGGCCAATCATTCAATTTTGCATCACCACCATCCAATCATAAAGTTAAAATAAGTAGCAGATTACCTTGGTCAATTCATTAATGCCATCAGAAGGGACATTGTAATCATTGTCATTCTCAACATCATCTTCTGAAAATAAAAAAAATAAAGAAAGAATTAAGAAATAAATAAAACAAAAGACAGATGGAAAAATAATTACCACTTGAATCAAAAAATGTGAGGAGGAATAAATAGTGGCGGACACAATCACTTCATAATACATGACATTCAATAGATATCAATCAACTTAAACAAAAATCAAATACCATTTAGAAGTTATTCTACGCCTTCTGCCTTGTGTTCAACATGAAAAATAATGAGTTTAAGAGTAAAGTTTAAAAGGAAGTGCATCATAGTTAAAATCAATATCTAATAAAAGAATCATAATTTACAGGTGTGATGAGATCTATTGACTGGCAATGGTTATGTTATAAACTTTCACATGCAGAATAAAATTGGTTTCCTGAACTGAACCATACTCAATACAGCAGAAGCACAGGAGGTACCACCACTTTTGATAATGGAAACTTGGCAAAATTTCTGGGAAGAACAGCAATATCTAGCACTATGCATTTGCTCATCATATGTGATGTGGAGGATTCAAGGAGAAAATTACAGTTCGTATTTCTAAAATTAGACTTGAAAATCTCCACTTGAAAGCTCATTAAATTTCAAATGGCAAAACAAAACCACAGAGTATCAACCTGTTCTCACAGGAGAGTTCATTTGTCACATATAGATCTATATTTATAAATTATTGTACACTAAAGGCTGGATTCGAGCTTTATCAAATTAAAAATCATTTGCAACCTCAGACATTTCTAGTTAGGGTTCCCTCAATTTGTCGTATTTCTCAGAATCTTCTTTGCAAGTGTCTTCGGGGTTCAAAGGTTGATATTTTACTTTGAAAAAAGAGCTTCACTCTATACACGCTCACACACAAGATCAAGATTTTCACCAATGCATCAAGGTGGCATATTAATCCTTTCTCAATTTTGCCAACGTAAAAAAATTACTTTCTTTCTTAGTTTACCTTGATTTTCAATAGTTTTACAACCTAGCAGCTTCAACGCCTAAACTTATCTTACATTTTTGAATTATGCCACTAAAATCCTAAACTTTCAAAAGAGTTGGTATTAAAAAAATATTTCTTCTCCACTAACCATTTTTTGGTCTGTTTTCCTATGTTATCTGTTTAATCAGCAACTCCTTTAAACTAGACCAAAAACAAATTTTATTTCAAAGAAACTTTTACTAGAGAAAAAAATGTCATTCATGTATCCATACATGCTGGGATGGAGTGTGATTTCCAAAAATATAGCAAGAAAATCACAACACTCTTAGTCTTCCATATTGGACTGTAAACAAATTTGAAATGGTTTAGTTGTGTTCCTTCCAAATCATCCAGGAAATGAATGAGGAGACATCCTACAGGACAAAATTTAACTTGCACAAACTGTCACTGCTTTTGAACCACCACCAGACCACCGCAATAAAAAAAAAGAGCAAGAGAGAGAGAAAGAAACAGAGATGAGAAAAAGAAAATCCAATAAGCTCTTCTGCCAAAAAGGGCCAAAATTCATGTTTTCCACTTTTATTTCTTTTTTCTCTTTTTCTACATTAACCAATAATATAGACCAAAAAATGTTTTTGACAAAAACGAATTTTTTTGCCACACTTCATCTAATCATTGATGTATAAGGTTTGTAGCGCAGTATTTATCTTTTCTATTCTTTCTTCTGGAGGGGATGTTTCTTATGTGCCCCTGTAGTGTAAAATGACTTATTTAAGTTAATCTTCTACATGGGAGAATAACAAACACTTGTTACTTTTAACGCAGCAATTTCGAAACAAGACAATTACAAGACATCTTTTCCACCACATTTCTCATGTATATAATATTCTTCTTTTTCATGAAAAAAAAATATTGTTTCTTAATTATAGAGCATGTTCGACCTATAAACGCCAGAGCTAAATGTTTCAATACTTCACGCAACTTATACCACGATCTATTCACTAAACTTTAAAACACTTCACGATACTCACTAAACTTAGTCCGTTTGCACTCCACCCATCATCCACCAGATTTCGTTTCCCTCATTGTTGATGTTTCAAACGGAAATCTAACGTGACAAATTACGGCCCTTAAAAAATTACAGCTTAGTCAAACCATCCAAGTAAAATGTTTTCATTATTCACCCAACTTATAACGTGGTCACGACTTACTCATCAAACTTCAAAGTACTTTCCAATGGTCACAAATTTTTGAAAGTTGCAGTCCATTGGAAAATGGAAACATTTTGAAGTTTGACGAGCAAATTTTGACCATAGAATAAGTTGGGTGAATAATGATACATTTTACTTGGATGGTTTTGTTGAGATGTAATTTTTGAACGACCGTAACTTACCACGTGAGATTTCCGTTTGACATGCCAGCAATTGAGGTGAATGGAATTTGTCAAATGATAGATGAAGTGCAGACAAACAAAGCTTAGTGACTATTGTGAAAAACTTTGGATTTTAGTGAGTATTCTGCGACCATGGTGTAAGTGGGGTGATTATTGAAGCATTTAACTCTAAACACCACAAAAGAAGCCAATTTCATTCTGGACGTTGTCAAGTGCGATACTGCTGAGAAAAGCTGATTCTTTTGAAAAGAAGCAGGGCCGAAGGTGTGGTACAAGATGCTCTATAGTATATTAATATTATGATGCTCACACAACCTCGTTCTCTCTCTTTATGTGAATAGACAAATATATCCTCGTTATGAAATTTGAATTCAAACCCGTAGCGTAGCGTAGATCTTGAAACATACTGAACAAAATAAATTACAAGCACACTACACTACACCATATAACAAGTATATACGCAAAAGAAACTCCCAAAAACCAGGAAAAAAGTGAAAGAGAACGTAAACGTACCAGAATCAGACCCATCATCTTCAGAAGAAGAAGAATTATCAGAATATAGCACGGAAGAAATGATTTTCCCCGCACCGGAAGCAACTGCACGGGCAGAGGGGATAATTACGCGAGAAAACCAATTAGGGCTTCTGACTACTGGAGGCGGCGGCTGTGGACGGTCGTAGGGTGTGGCAGCGAGCCGCTTCTTCCGGCGGTTGGTTACTATTTTTCCACCGGCGCCGAATTGGGATTCCGACAGGGATGCCATTGGAAATTGGGAGAAATGAAATTTGGAAGAAAATGGTAATTATTATAGATTGTTGTATTTCAGGAGAATTTTGAAAGGACCCCGTACACATGAAATGGATAGGAATAATGTATTTGGAAATTCATGTAAAAAGTTAAGTGAAATAACGCATTTTCCGATGTAGGCGTGATTTAATTTACGAATAGCTTTCCACCTAAAAAAATGGAAAAATTAAGCCCCGTTTGATCTACATTATTATCTCATTAAAATGAAAAATATGATCGTTATTCATTATATCAACGTTTAAATTCAAATTTTTTATCTCTTATGTGGGCCCCAATAACGGCTATATTTTTCATTCGCATTCTACAATAATTTGGTTCAAACAGGACTTAAGGATAATTCGGGTCCCGCCTTCGACCTTTTGAGGTAATGTGATTATTCATCCTCAATTTAAAAAATGAGGTTATGAGTAGATTGGACATTAAAATCGCATATGGCTTTCATTTGATTTAGAAGAAAATTATTAAGTTATCTGATAGTTCTATCGTCCAATTCTTATGTCGCGTACGGTTTTATTATTGAAGGTTTTTGGATTTGTGTATTCCAATTTATAGATTTACAACTCAAATTTGAAAGTTGTAGGCTAAAACCACACTACGCGAAAGAATTGAAAGGCGAATCTTATTTTCCCTTAAAATTTATCGAAGATTTGTACATATTGATTAAGCCCATGTTTGGCCCCCATTATTGTGCATTTTTTATGGTTGAAAATTTTTGGAATAGTGATTGATGGGAGAATGTGTGGTAGAAAAGTAGTGAAAAATTTTAGATTTGTGTGTAATATTATTTTATTTGATGAATGTGTGGTTGTAATGAAAAGAAAAAAATTTAATGTAATTTAATGTAATGAAATTTAATGGGAGCCAAACATGGGCTAAGCTTGAAAACAACCTCTCTCTTTTTCCCTGGATTCTTATCATGTCTGCCAAGCCAGGAATAGTTGAAAGTTTTAAAGACATTTGGATAAATGATCTTTTTCTTACTTTTAAGTCAGCTCAATTTATAAAAATGAATAGTAATAGATTTCACAAGGCCACGTTTGATTTGCCTTTTTTTCCTTGGAAATTGGAAACAAAATTCCATTTTCTTACTTTTGACATATTTGATAAGTAGTATTTTCTAGGTAAAACAAATTCAAACCCCCACCCACGAGCCCAAGTTCTTCGATTTGAGGGAATTTCTTTTCCCACCATTTTGATGGGAAAAGGAATTTCACCTTTTTTTTTTTTTTGACAATGAAAACAAATTTCATAACCAAGTGTAAAAAAAAATTTCACTTTCATAGACAATTTTGATGCAGACAAAGGTCAAACGAACACTAAACTTTGATGAAAAAATGATTTTCCAGGAAATATTTTTTTATGGCAATGAAAACAAATTTTATAACAAATTGTGGAAAAAATTATCACTTTAATGGACAATTTTCATATAAAACAAAACCAAACGAATACAAAATTTAAAAATTTTCCGGGTGAAAAATTATATCAATCAAACGTACTTAATTAACAATTCACTACAAAATATTTTTCTAGACAATTATTTTCATTGGAATTCATTGTCTTTCCATCCATTTTTCACCCTTACAATCAAACGGATCATAAGAGATTGATTGATTGATATAAAAAATATATTTAAAAAAAAAAGAAAATATTGTCCTTGTTTTGAGGAAAACAAAAACCTACTCCCCCAAAGAAAATGTTTTTTTCTTAAAAACGAGGAAAAATAAGAATATTTTTAAAAGTTGAAAAATATTTTCCATGAAAAAAAAATAGCAATCAAACACTTTAAAGTGGGAATTATAGTGAAAAATTGACATTTTTTATGGAAAATAAATGCAATCAAACACACCCTAATTATATAAATAATTATGAGTATAGTTGAGATTAATGCTTTACTTTAACTCACCTATAAATCATTTATAAATTTATTTGTCAAACAGAAGCTTAAAAACTTACTCATTTAGAAAGCAAAAGATAATTATTTTAGAAAAACCTTTTTTTTACTTATAAATAGATACATATGAATCACATTTCACAACTAACAAGTTTAAAAAATATTTTGTTGTAATTACAATTAATAATATATATAATATATAATATACATCTGGCATATGTATATTCATTATATTTTTTCTGTCTCTATATTAGACATTGACATACAGCATGTCCCTACCAATCCCACGGACCCCACCCCTATAGAAATCTGTATAAATTCTTCTCTCTCCACACTCTTCTGTAGAAATCTGCATTAATTTTCTCTTTCTCTACACCGCACGGTCCGCACCCCATGAACCCACCCACTACTGTAGAAATCTCAAAAATTTCAAAACGATTTCCCTCTCTACAAAAGCTTTATCCTATTATATTAAAAATGAGAGTTTTGGATTACTGTAAATGCAACAGTAATCAAATGAGATGTTGCTGTACATTTTTTCAGTTTTCACACCTCCAGTCCTCCAGTTTTATACCACATTATTTTTTCCCCTATTTACTATAAAAACGATGTCGGACTTTGAATTGTTAGGTATTTATTCCTGCATTATTTTTTATTCTCGCCCATATATTTAGAATCACTACAATATAACCAAAAGAAAAGGACTGTTCACAGGTGAGATCGAAGATTATCGAAGAGGACAACATTTTCAACTATTATTTAATTCATGAGCAAGCAAAAGCTAACATGATGAATTGAAAGATCTTAATTGTTAGCACTCTTATAATTAAAAAAAATGAGGCCCTGTTTGAACCACATTATTTTTGTCATTCTTATTCTTCTACTCATTTTTAACCACACATTTTTCAATAAAATAATATTTTTCATCACATCAATAATTTTTCCTTCTTTTTCAACCATATATTCATCATCATATCAACAGTAAAAATGCATTATTTTTCCAAAAATGTGCACCAAATGGGGGCTAAATAAATTTCTTCGACATCGTGTCTCAGTGGTGCGCATACAATTTTTTTTTTTTTTTTTAACTCTCGTTGGTTTTGGATACAAGTCTTTTTTTTTTTTTTTTTTCAAATTGACTATTCTTTTTCTTGTCATTAAATTTAGACGATAACATTTACTTACATTTTATATAAACTAAATACAATTTCACTTATTAATAATTTGCTATGTACTGGGCAAGTCGATCCCCGCGAGCCCCCGCTACCCCCTCGACTCCCGCGACCTGATTGGGTAGGTCGATCCCCATTTCAAAGCGGCAAACAATTTGCATAACAATAATAAACAAATAAATAAATTATGAAAAAATATATTATCTACAAACTAATAATTTTCTGCTAAATTTGAAGTTTGCTCAACATGGTGGTATTCCGATGGCCCCGATAAAACTTAAGTAATAAATTTTGACAACGTTTTATTTCAAAGTTAGTGATTATGCAAACACTTGAATTATTTTTTCCTCAATTTTTTTAGTTTTAAGATTGTGTCAATATATCAGTCTGATGGAAAGACTTGTGCATGACCATTGGAATACCGAGGTCCGATTCTAAGATTTGTATTCATGAATTCATTTTTCAGATATGTATATTTAACAATGAAAAAAATGTTATTTGTATTGTCATTGTTTTGAAAAACTCTAACATGACTTATTCTTCTATTCCTAAATGTTACACTTTGTCAATGATCTTCCTGACACTAAGTCACTAACATTTTGTAATACAAAATCTCATCAAGATATGAGTAATGCGGTTGATAAAGTTTATTCATCGTAATAAATTTTTTTTACATACTTTATATATTTAATTCACATTTATTTATTCTATTAGAAGCTTGATCTGGAGTTAAAAATGTTGATACAGTTTATCAAGGACGATTGTACCCTTGTTTCAAAGGAATATGCAATTTTAGATTTCGGATTTGACAACGAGTGTACTCGCCAGATGATGTTGCAAAGAAATATAAAAGAAGGGAGTACAAGTGCACATTCACTTGTGCAAATAATGTGTGAGTATTTAAATTATTTACTGTTTACTATAATATTTCATTATGCTTACTTTAATTTTATATTTATAATACTAATTTAATCAAATGTAAAAAAAAATCTTCAAGCCAAACTGTGCAATTTTCTTGCGCAAATATATAGAATGCTTCGTTTTTGGATATCCAATAGAATTAGTTTCTCCAGACGGGATGACTATATACAGATGAAACATTGTGGTAGACATTTGCTATAATGAATACTTTCTACATCCTCGTTAATCCTGCTATTAATGGATAACCATATTCGCGCAAAAAATTGTTGGAAATATTTGTTATACTCATTTGATTCGTACTAAAGAACACAACTAAAGAGACTCCCACAGCACAATTACAAACAGAAAAGTAACTTGACATCAGTTATCCTTCGTGCTCACATGTCAAATGTCCACATTTGGAATAGCCTTATGAGCATATATACAATTAAGAATCACTAACATTTTGTAATACAAAATTTCATCAAGATATGAATAATGCGGTTGATAAAGTTTATTCATCGTAATAAATTTTTTTTACATACATTATATATTTAATTCACATTTATTTATTCTATTAGAAGCTTGATCTGGAGTTAAAAATGTTGATACAGTTTATCAAGGACGATTGTACCCTTGTTTTAAAGGAATATGCAATTTTAGATTTCGGATTTGACAACGAGTGTACTCGCCAGATGATGTTGCAAAGAAATATAAAAGAAGGAAGTACAAGTACACATTCACTTGTGCAAATAATGTGTGAGTATTTAAATTATTTACTGTTTACTATAATATTACATTATACTTACTTTAATTTTATATTTATAATACTAATTTAATCAAATGTAAAAAATTTTCTTCAAGCCAAACTGTGCAATTTTCTTGCGCAAATATATAGAATGCTTCGTTTTTGGATATCCAATAGAATTAGTTTCTCCAGACGGATGACTATATACAGATGAAACATTGTGGTAGACATTTGCTATAATGAAT